TCTCTCGAATACTTTATATTGTCTTGTTTTAGGTATTTTTGAGTAGTATTTCAGAGATCCTCATGGCTGAAATACAGGTATTTCCCCCATTGCGGGATTAATTGTGGGAGTAATATTCTTGTCCTTGACTTCTTGACCTCTTGAATACTATATTTTGTCTTGTTCTTAGGTATTTTTGATTTGTTCTCAGGGATTAATTGTGGGAGGATCATTCTTGTTCTTGATTGTCTCTCACATACTATATTCTGTTTGGTTTTAGGTACTTTGGAATATGTTTCTCAAGATATGTGTGTGGTGTTTGTTCCTATGGTGTTTTGTTGCTGCTCTCTATTGCTGCTGGGCCACAGGAATTGTGGGATCAATAAAGTCCTACCTACCATGTTATAAAATAAAACTAATTTGACCAATATCACTTATGGAGCACCAGAAAAATGTATTTCAGGAAAGAATTTGTCACTGTTTTTCATTTTTCATTCATTAATACTGACATTCATCACATTTATAGTATTGCAGGGGTGGCAATCACATTCTGGGGTTGGCCAGTGCCAGAACCCCCACCCCCATCCATTGGCTACACCCATGTGCATTGGATTGGGAGTTTTATATATATATGAATGACAGCAAAGATATATACCACAACACCATTTAAAGTGTCTGAAAAATGGCTGAAAGTTATGTATAAAGAGTTATGATCTAAGACTAGAAATTTAATTTGGGTGTTAACACCTAGACAAATATTTTGTGCACCCATGTGTGTTTGCACTGTCATTTGAGTCGCTCCATACAGGAGCACCTTCTGATGGGAAGCGAGATTAGTGTCATGGTTGCTTGGTTTCATTGGAAGACTTGTTTATGTTCATTCACTGTCATTGTCATAAAAAACCTTGTACCTAAACACCAGGCATGAGCTAAATGATCTGAAATTAATAACATCTGCATTAATGTTAACCCATTAATGGATTTTATTTCACATATTTCACAGTATGGCGAGTGACCTTGTGAATAGCGTTAAATCGATATCAGACTTAAACCATGGCGGTCCTTTATCCACCAAGCTCTTTTCTGATTAGTGAATTAATTATTAGTGCCATGCTCTGTATCCACAGATGTTTGTTTGTGTCAGTTTGAAATGACAATAACACATGGGACATCCAAATAAAGAATTTTAGTGATTGAACAAGTTCAAATGGGACAGTTGTGTCTTAGACTGCTGGGGCGGCCAGCACCCAGATTCACACATGAATGTGTGGACAGATGTTAAATTGTCTTTTTGTTTCTGATCCCTTTTTTTAAAAAAAACTATAACATTAACTACCTCTTGGTATTATATGCTAAATGAAAGGATGTTAAATGGGGAATGTCTGTTCGTGGCCTCCATTTCCACATTCCAGTAACTAACAATCCGTACACTTTTGCTTTTGACTTTCAACTGAATTATAAATCACTTTCATACAGTGACCACCCTGGCAGGGCAGTGAAATTCATCTAAACATACATAAAAAATAAGCCATTATAGATCATTTTAATTAGAAGTGTATTTTTTTTGTTTGTTTTTTGGTGAAGAGATTTTTTTAAATGCCCTGAAAAACCATATGTCTACTGAAATTTCAGGTACAGTTGTAGCAGCTGCTCGTAATGAAGCCCAATTTGTTTCATCTCTTGTTATAATTTCTACAATGAATCACTGAATAAGCAAACTAAAACTCAAACTTAAAGTAACATTCCCACAGAATCCAAGTCTGCAGACTTGAAAAACAACAGTTAAACAATGTCATTTTCCTCACCACAAAGAGCAGAAGCCTTGTCAGTGATGACTGACCAAAGACTCTAAACATCCACAGTGACTTATCATAAACCTCTTCCAGTGTAAAAAGCTTTTTCACCTTCCATCTTTTTCTTATTATGTCTGAAACAGTTTGCTCAGTGATTTCCTCTATAAACAAAAAACAGTCAGGGCAGCTAGGCGTCCCCCCCCCCCATAGCATTTTTGTTCTCCTCTCTTTATTTTCACTGAAAGTGACAGTAAATGATCAAGCTTCTGCTCTGCCATGATTCATTGTATATGTAGTGAAGTGCAGTTCTTCTGACTACCAACATTCTCAGCAAGCAAAATGTTGATTTTAGCTCAGTCTGTAAAATTTAGCATTAAGGGTTGTGTTTAAACATTCTGTGTGACAACACAGGTATGGCTAAGGTGTTATGTTACCTATATCTAGGTAACTAAATTTATTTGGAAATTTGGGGATTTAGCTAAATAATGTCTTCATGGTCCAAGCTGAAAACACAACATATTATTGGCGTGACATGCTAACAAACCGTTGTTAGCAAGATTCAACAGACATGGAGCAACATTAGCATTTGTGTTCACTTCGCGGCTCTGATTTGGTCTCTATCAGCCTGTGAAGGAAATTCCTGGCTGTTTAGCAGTTAAATACTGTATACTCTACTGTTCATTAGCTGGTTGTTGTTCTCTTTATACAAAAATCATGCTTAGTGCAGCTTTAAATATAGTCGCAAGAAAAAGTAATGGGGCTGTTTGCAGATTCCCGGTTTTCTTCATAAATTGGTCATGAAATGTAATCTAATCTTCACCAAAGTTACAAATATCATCAAATCCGACTGTTGCGCAAGTCTAATCCACAGCTGCTGTACATGAAGGGCTTGCTTGAGGTTGTTGCTGCCAACTGTCAACCAGTTATTAAAACACTGTTGCCACCCTGACTTTGTATGTTTAATGGGTGTGTTCAATAAAGACATGAAAGATCATGACTGTTTGTGTTTTATCAGCTTAGAAATGTCGTTTGTTAATATTTGTGACTTTGGTGAAGATCAGATCACATTTCATGACCAATTTATGCAGAAAACCAGGAAATCGCAAACGGGCCCGTTACTTTTTCTTGCAACTCTATATTAAAAAGCCAACATCAATATTTAGTCAGAGATGGAGCACAGACCCTGGTGCCCGGCGTCCAAGTCGAATACATTACCACTTTTAACACCACACCGTCTGCATTGCCGCTGAATATTGGCACAATAAATCATCTGCTGTGTATGTTGGCAATATAAATGTTAAGAACATGCTGAGCAAGGATGTACAGTGGATGAGCTGTATGAGACTTTTCTGTGAATGTGTCCATGATGTCGTTCTGCTATAAAAACTGGTTGCTATTGAAATCTGTGGTAACCACCATGAAGCCACGCTGACCACGGCTGTCATTGTTTTACAGCTTTGGCAATGATGTGTTCTCAAATCAAATCTACATTGTCTGCAGTTATATGTTTAGAAATGCTAAATGAGAAGTAATATATGATTATTTTTAACAATAGCACTGATTTAATCAGCAACCCTAAAAAGAGAAGGTGTTGATTATTTGACATTACAGAATGTGACAGTCACTTGACTTGCCGTCCCACAGCACAACAGGTCTCGGCCTATAACAGGCACCTTTTGAAGAGTTTTGAATTGATGTGATGTGTGTATTCGACTCTTTCTTTGAACTAAGTGTGTAATTCAGCTCTTTCAGTTTTTATGGCTTTCATCGCTGTTTTGTGCCGTTAAAAAAGTCTGGAGTCTCGTGCTTATTAGTTTCACAGTTTTTGTCAGACTGTGAAGAGAGTTTCATCACTACACAGTGAAACTCAAGTGTTAGAAGTAAATAATGGATTTAATTTTCATTTACAGATACATTATGTTCATTAGTGCATCGGATCAGTGTCAAACACAGTCAACAGGCAGGATCTGAAATGCAGTCTGGAGTACATGGTTATATGTAAAAGGGAAATATTGTACTTTTTACTTTTAATACATTCATTCTACAATACACTGAAGGATTCCAATGTAAAAACTCTGCAGAATATCAGCCTGTAGCTACAGTTCACAAACTGCTCTTTACTATTACTGAAATGCAGTATATAAAGTATGTTATACTTGGATGACAATACGTCTCTACATTTTACCTGAAGGCTCGATTTGTACTTTTAATTGAGTATTTTATAGCATGCTATTGCTACCTTTGTGTCTGTAAAGAGTCTGAATACATCCTCTGCCAGTGTGGGTATATATATTGTGGTTAAATGGCATATTCATGCTCCAGATTCATTCCCCTGCCATGCACAGTGTTGTTTGCTTGAGCTTCCTGTAACTGTTAGGCCATGTTGGACCAAATGTCCCCTCTGGACATGGAGGTGTAGCCTCATTGCCCAGCTGTTATGAAGAATTTAATAAGAAATATTAATCCATTTAATGATTAATGTCGATACTTTAAAATGAGTTTAACACTTTGAAGTCTGCAGCCTGTATATAAAGTAGATGCGTTCAAAAAGGCAGGACTTTAATGTGAGTTTTAGTTCGGTTTTCCCTCCTTAACATCCCATAACTCTTCAGAGCCTTGTTAAATGGAGACTATTTAAAACCCTTATTTCACATGCACCACTTGGGCCTTCGTGTGAATTTCTCTGGACGTGTTTGAACAGTCTGGTTGTAGACTGGTCGTGGTTTGGTCACGACAAATGACAGGGTGAGGCTGCGTGTCTTTCTGTCCGTCGTCGTAGTGGGGGGGGGCAGTAACATCCATCGCCCATGATGTAGCGCCGTGCGTTTTAATGTAGTGGAGCCAAGTTACCTCGGATTCCGCACACATTTAGTTTTTTTATGCCCCCTTCACAATATTCAGCTGTTTGTCCGTCATTGGAGGACGGGGGTGTCAAGCGAGACCGGTCCCTGTGGCAATTGGTTCAGATTAAGTTTGCTGCAAATCGGTGGAAGCCCAACCAGGAAGAGCACACACATCTCGCAAGCGCAACCGATCGTCCTCTCTCCACTTCTCCCCAGCTCTCCCAGTTACGGAGTTCTGCCATCGCACCAGTCCGGCTGGCTCTCTCTCTCTCGCACCAGTCCGCCTGTCTCTCTCTCTCTCTCTCCCCCTCCACCTCCCTTCTCCCCGCAGGTTTGCTCGACGGATCCCCGCTGGCAGGAGGAAGCGCGTCGGCGAGCCGTAAGTTACCACCTCGGTTTTTTTGTTGCCATTTCGCCCTGAATGTTTGAAGTTGCTCCGGCTGGCCAGCCGTCCACAGAGGAGCGCAGAAAGCCGTTTTCGCTTCGTGCAACCAGAAGCGACACACAGTGCTGCTGCTGCTACGTGCCATGTCTTCCCAGGACTCACCCTGGACTCTGATCAGCACAGCCCCCGTGTCGGTAATGACAAACCCGGTTAGGAAATGTTATCAGAAGCGTGGACTGCCCTTTATTTTGCTTGGTGTGTGTGTGTATGTGTGTATGTGTGTATTCGGCCCCCTCCCCTCCCCAGCCCGTATATAGAGCCTGGCTGGCCACTTCAGATGGGCAGGATAGGTCAAGATGTTCATCCTCAGTCTTCGGCCACTGTAGGTTGTGTATATATTGTGGCACGTAGTAGCTACAGATGTGTGCGTTTAGCTATGCAGGCATGCGAAGCCTCCTCGACATCTCAGCGGATGGTGTAGATGAAGCCCAAAGCTGCCGTACAAGTCTCAGAAGAAAACACACAACTGTGACCTAATGTTTGAAATTCTTGTAGTCGTTATTTCCTCGGGATGAATCTCAACATGCCAGCGCCTCGTGTTGAGCCTGCCTGTCCCCCGGTGTGACAAGGAACATGGAAAATAAAAGCCCTCTCGGTTTGGTCCCGATGGGCTGCCTTACCCAGCTGGTTATTTATGTTTGATGCTGTGTTTTGCTGGTGTTCTGGCACTACCAGACATTTAAAAGCAGACATATTTAAAAAAACAAGCGGGCCAGATATTATTTACAGGTGTAATACTAACAGAGGTGTGTGTTTGTAGCATGCACATCCTTGTTATCAAGAAATCAGGAGCAGAGTTGTGTTCTGCAAGGTGTATCTCATGTTAATGTGACCCTTTAAGGTGAAGCACTATGACCCCTTACTGTAGGCTGTGGCCATATTTTGGACATGAGCTGTGAACAGTTCAACCCAAAAGTGATTTGTTCTTCACAGTTATTTGAAAGACTGTTAGAGGCTCCAAAAGGTGAAAGCATTTAGTATTTCAGAAGAAAAAAGCAACAAATTAGGGGCTGTATAAAAATTATTTTAAGTTTTTGATCAAGGAGGGTATTTGTTGGGAGAGCAGGGGAACTTTTATCTCATCCCAGAATTGTATATATATTCTTATTTGTTCTTGGACATTGGTATTGCGGTCCATCAGCGATGGCTGGTTTCATTATTTTGATATTTTTGCCAGACATGTATACTTCTGATATATTTTGGGGGGTGAATAAGAAAAAAAAAACAGGGGGAAAACTTTCTGGGTTTTATTAAATCACCAACCAACTAAAGAGAACAAACTTTTGCAAGAAGCATGTAGTGAATAGAGGTTAAATTAACTGACGATTTGTAGAAGAATACATGAGATACCTGCACATAAATATAAAATTTGTCATGATATAGTTAGATTTTATGATGATCCTATTGCTGCTGTTTGTGAAGAAAAACCAGAAACAGCTTTTCACAACAACAAAGTAGCTCCAGTCTCAAAATGATCATAAAACTAAGTGGACACGCTACCAAGTATCCTCTCTGTTGCTTATAACACTATATGAAGCATTTGGATTTTTCTTGATCAACCTCCTTTTCTCTGAGTTCTTCAGTTCAAGCCAGATTTATTTGTATAGAACCAAATCTGAACAAAAATCATCTCAAGGTACTTTACGCGGAGGAAAACCCAACAAATCCCCCTTGAGCAAGCACTTAGCGACAGTAGGGAGGAAAAACTCCCTTTAATGGAAGAAACCTCCAACAGAACCAGGTTCTTGGTGGGCGGCCTTCTGCCTCGACTGATTGGGGGGAACCACAGCTTTACTTTTTTACAAATGGGTTATTCATAAAAAGTAAGTCACTGCTGCTGGCCTGTTGTTTAATGGTGATACAGATACAAACGCATTCCGGCAGACGGAGCCATGAACCCAGACTGTGGATGTTTTGTTCACAGTCTTGGTTTTAGAGCCATTACACCATCACACAGGGGGAGGCCTCGAGCCACTGGTTGGGAAGCTCTAGGCTAATGTATAATGCCTGTTATTAGAAATATATGTTCATGTAATATTTTCGAAGTGGCTGTCAATTTGAGTGTGATATTCACTTGTGTGTTCAGAGTGACCACTTCACGTTGTCTGCTTTAACTGTACCTGGAATTTCAGAGGAGAAAGAAGTAAGGATATAGAGAGTGGATCAATTGTGTTTTAGAAACATATCCTGAAGAGTCGTGAGAAATCTTATAATATAAAAGTGTCCCGGTGTGCCCACTGTTTGACGCTCTGAAAGAGGAACTGATGATCTGTTTTCTAACCAATTAGAGACAGAGTGCAGGGTCATTGATCTTCCCATAAATGTGAAATTACTTCCTAAGGATCACCAGGCCTGACCGTGTTTAAAGAGCCAAATTGCTGTTTGGCCAGTGCACTGCCACAGGAGATGATGTCTCACTGGTTGTTCCTTCCAGTGTTTCCCCACCTACACTTCTCAGCAGTAACAGATTGCTGAGAACTGCTTCCGGAAAGTTGTCTTTAATGGTTAAAAAAAAAAACACGAAGAAGGTTCAGTATGAAGGCTGAAAAGAGAGTTGCATTAAATTAACATTAAAATGTGGACTGATTGTTCAGTGTGAATGTAAGGTTTGAATTTTAGGCGAGAGTGTTGTTGTGGTATTGAATTTCAGTTTCAGTCTGCATGATCACACACTTCATATGTGATTAGATCTTTTCTGAGTCTAGCATTCGTTGTCCTGTGAAAGGACAACAATGAAGTGAGGGGTCCACAATACCTGATTTTGTCGATGAGTAACTTCCTACAATTGTGTTTAGTAGTTCACTGTCAAAATATTACAGTTGGTTTCTTGTATGTTTATTTCAGTGTATAAAGGTTATTTTACATTTGTCATCTTTTTTTTTTAAGTGTTTTTGAAGTGGAGTATATTAGAGAAGTTGTAAGTAATGCTATCATTCCCTCTGGATCCACACTGGATCCACGCACGTTGACCAATTTATTCATAATTGAGCTGGCTAAGTAGAAAATGTAAGTAGCAGTTGTAGTTGGTATGAGCTAAACTCATGTTGGCTATTGCCAGGATCACTCACACATTTCAGTCTTGGACCGCCTTTCCACTCGCATAAGCCCAGTCAGATTGGGGCCAATAAGTCAAACGTGTTTAGAAAATCTTGTCAGGATTTGACTGTTACTGAGTCGTGAGTTAGGCCAAAATCTCTGGTCTTGAATGTGCTCACAGTGCAGAGTAACCATCAGGCCTCTCAGTGCCTCACACAACCACACTAGTCTGAGCAGATGCCCAGGCCTGAAATTCTTGAAGTATGGTGCCACACAGAATGAAACATTCAAAAGCTAACTGTGATAAGCCATCAGAGTTGGAAAACAACTCAGTCTGATTTACACAGGCAAAGTTAAATCATGTAAAACTTTTGTGTTGTATTTGCTTTGGGGAGTTTTCCTTTGTGGTACAGAATGTACTGTATGTACAGTTTTAAAAGAGTCTTTACAGGTTTACCTGCTTTCCCATGTCATTAGTCAGACAGTAAATATTCCTGATATTTATGATCTCCAGTACAGAAACCAGAGGTGGAAAGTACTACACTTGAGTACAATTCTGAAGTATGCATACTTGGGTATTTTCATTTTGTGCTACTCCATATTTTGACTTCACTACATTTTAGAGGCAAATGTTGTACTTTTTTACTCTGCTACATGTATTTTATAACTTTTAGCTACTTTTCAGAATCAGAATAATTATACAAAATACAATATAATTATCTGACTTTATTGATCCCTGGTGGGAAATTCACAAAATACCCAGCAGTACTTCAAATTATAACCATGTAAGGTACTTGAAATGAGCTCCACCTTTACCAGTTGCATCATTAAATGTGATGAACACAATAATTATAATACAATAGTACGATATACATGAATGTAAAATGTGCTATTCTGCATGAGTATATTTACTTTTGGTACTTTTTGTGATGCCAGTACGTGTGACGTTCTTAACAAACTGCCAGCTGAGTGCGTTTATGCATATCAGTTATTCTTTGGTTGTTTGTTTCAGTTTCACAGTGAGCTCAAGGAGTACTTTCACAAATACTCCCAAGCAAATTGTTTGTAACAAATTGAGTTTAGTTGCCAAATGCTTTTTTGAGATTTGGGAATATTTATGTAGTATCATACAGCAGAGGTATGTCCAAGATTCTCTTCCTGTATGTAATATGGACATCTAGACAGCAAATAATTTGAAGCCATGAAAATGAAATGATAAAAATGTCAAGTGTAAATAGACATTTAGTCAGCTTGTTTGTTTTATTTTCCTCAGTGGACTTTAATGTTGTAGTGAGGCCTTTTTGACATTCAACTTTCTGACTAAACATTTCAGAATAAACAATTGGCCTTAACAAGCTGTTATTTGCATGCTGTGTGCACACTAGGTGATAAGGCAACGAGTGCAGTGAATGAATGACAGAGTGCATTAGTTTCTTTAATGCAACATAAAACACACACACACACACACACACACACATACACAAATCCATTATAACGAGAAACAAAGGCATATAATAGCTGGAGCTTGCCATATGATCAAATAAATTCAGTCTGATCACAAAACCATTCAGTTGAGTTTACTTATTAAGGTTTTTTTTATGTATTCAATCAGATACTGTTGTGTTTAAAGCTAAACAGAAGGCTCATGTAAGATAGTCAATGTCTTTGTTGTATCTGTGTCTTGTTTGCTCCATCTCGTTTTCATCTTTTTTTGTGTGTGTCTCAGTACTTTTCACACCACAAAAGCTTTGTAATTTATGAGAGTAAAAAAATGTTTGAAATAAGGATAATGGTCTTTCCTTGGGCCCATAATACACCTCATATGACCATCAGTTCTAGTCTGATCAGTTATTGTGTGATTTAAAGAAACGAAAGTTGCAAAGATTCTATAAAGCGTAGGATACGTGACATTGCTGGCATCATCTGTCTGATAAAGCTACAACCTTCTGTCATTAGGCCCTTACACACTGCCTTTTCGAGGCAGGATTAGTACACCTTTATTTTGTTTCATTTTCTGTGTGCAAGGCACAAAGCCAGAATGGTGGGCCATTTTTGTTCTGCCTCTGGTCCACCTCAGGCCTGCCTTGGGATGTTGAACACAACACAGAACACTGGATGTTATGCCATAGATTGTGAGCATTGACAGCATGCAAACTTGAGTTCTGATTCCTTGTCGGTCTCCTCTCTCTAGGCCCTGTTGAGAAGCATGTGATGACTCAGGCAAGGCAGAAGGGTTTCCTCAGGCAGAGCCACAGTAGTGCTGAGTGGTGGGACAACTGTCCTCTTTGGCCACATGGTAGCACTATTGGTGGCACCTGGCCTGAGCGTTCACTACGACTCAGCAGGACAAAGAAGATAAGCGAGACCGTCAAAGAAAGGAAAGTCAAGGCCAAGAGGATGGCTGACAAGAGAGGGAGAACTGAAAAATCAGATCAGAACAGAAAACGGTACCGGAGGCATGACAATAAACGGGACAGGAAGTTGTATCCTTTGCGGAGAAGGGCTGGGGGTTCGGATGGGGAGGGCCTAAGTTGCCATGTCCTCCTCACAAGGTTGAAGGAAGGTGAGCAGGAGAGTTCTGAAGAAAGGGAAGAAAAGCCGTCTCTGAAACGCAAACCTAAAAAAGGGAAAAGAAATGAACGAAAAGAGGCAAAATCATTACCAAAAAACAAATCAAAGGTGAACAGCCCAAGTCATGGAGGGTGTATCCATGTCCTGCAACCACGCAAGCGCAGACTGGCCTCTCTCAATGCTGAGGCAGTGAACAGTCTGTTGCTTGAGAGAGCTACCGACCCTCAGCCAGCAACCAAACAGGCCAGGAAACAGGAAGAACCCACGACTGGAGGGGGTACCCTGGTTATAGATCCAGTCAGACCTGGTGCCCCTGGAAGTTTGAGGGCTTCACGAAACACAAGTAAAGCCTCCAGGTCTCCCAAACCTGAACTGTGCCAAAGCTCTAAGCCGATCAAGAAGGCCAAAGTCAAGCAAGGTGATGAGAGTAGGGGTATGAGTCAGAGTCTGGATACCCCCACCCCCAGGCGATTGGCTGGACTCAATGCTGCAGCCCTGCTGAAGTTAACCAGCTCTTCCACTACCAGTAAGCAGAGAGTAAAGGCTACACCCACAGCTACTATCACATCAGACTACAAGACTCCTGCAGCAGTCTCAACTGCAAAACAGCACTCCAGGGTCAAACTCAAACACAAGGGCCGATCACAAAAGCATAAGTGGAAAATGGTCCCTCCCCTGCACAGTGGTTGCACAGCCTGCAAGAATAAGGTGGACTTTGAGCCTAAAGTGGAATGGGACACTGGCAGTTGCACCCATAGACTGACCAAACCAGGTTACCAGTCTCGTAGCATGCTAGCATACCCACTAAAGCAAGTGAAGGAAGAGCAGATGGAGACCGAATTGAGCCCGTACTACTGCTGTCCCCCAGAGGGCTCAGTGGAATACTGCCACCGCTTGGCCTTCTTCCTGGGCCAGCAGCCCTACGGAGAATCAGATGATCAGTCTCTTAATTCAGCCATGACCCCTGTGAAGCACGAGTGCCTCGTATCCTCACCATCGTTGACACATTCCCACCCTCATACAGCCCTGACCCTTAGCCCCCACCCCTGCCTCTGCACTGCCGACCACTGCTTCTCCAGCTACTACGTCCATATCGCTCACCCACCACACACTGGCACAACATCACCAACCCTGGCTTCTCGACCTCTGAATTTTGCTTCATCCAGTTTGTGCCCTAATCAGATGACTGGCTCTAAACTGCTGGGTCCGCAGGTGTCTCATGCCTCGGGGCTGACCCACCCTGCCTTCTGCAACTCTGTGGCTTCACCCTGTTATGGTGATGCCTGTGGGATTAGTGGCTACACCTACAGAGCCATGCCTCCCGTCACCAACAGGGGTTGTTCTTTTAGCACAGGATTCACTGGGTGCACACACAGAATCAAAACAGGTGGGTGGAACATAAGGATTCCTGAAGTATTTCTGCTGGAACTCAGTTATGTATATGCTTTTGAACCCCTTTTAGTGTTCCTAATGGAATAGCTATTATTCAAATTCAGACAGTTACTGAAGCCCAGAGGAGCTAATGTTATCTATAAATATGCAGTATCTGTATTACTAGACTATAGACTAAATAAGCATCTGCAGCATTTTGAGCATGTTGGATATTTTCCCCATTCATGGCACTTTTATTGTTTCACAGTTTTAGTTCCCTCTTTTCATATTTTAATGAAAGAACCCCTTATCCCAATGTTGTACTTAAAAAGTCCTTTATCGTTAATTGATGTGTGCCTCAAGCCAGATGTATGCCCCAAAAAGCGGGAGCATTTTTTGTTGTTTGCACGAGCTTTGAAAGTGTTCGTAGCTCTTGGCACTAAAGTAGATATGTCTTGATAAGGAGCTTCAGCCTAATATGTTGTTTTCTGCAACAAATCTATTTATATATATTTTACCTTTATATATTTAACCTTTATTTTACTTGTAAAACCTGTTCTGGTCAAGGAACCACCTTTGATAGCAGTGACTAACAGTTCAATGCACCATAGTGTATTGAACTGAGAAATGTTATAATTCAATTTCACACCTCATCTGGAAGATAGTACTAATTCAGGTACATAGTTATATATTAAAGTCTTGCTTTAAGTGCAATTTAGATATTTTTGTCTCTGTATTATTTAAAAGTATTGCTTTGACCCATTACTTTTCCAGAGGGTTACACATCAGCACAGGGTGACCACAGCACCTCCCTTCTGGTTCCACCCTCCCTGCACATCTCCAGCTGCCCACTCTCCAGCATACCCACTTCCACCCAGACAAAACCTCACCTACTAACCCCCTTGTCAGGGCGAGACCAGCCCCAGGCCAGGTTAAAGCTGGCCAGGGAATGTCCACGGACCACCAAGCCCCTGCCAATGGGGCGCACACAGCTGCCCCAGAAAGAACTGGCATCTGTGCCGAGCCTCAGCAGCACCAAACAGAAGAAGGTCAACCGCAGACGTGCTACCAATGGCTGGCGGGCTGTAGGAATGCCCACAGAGAGGGAGGTCTTTATTGCGGTAGGTTATTTGTGAGTGTGTCTATGAAGATGAGCCAAGAGATTAAAGACCTTCTCGTCTGGTTGTCTGTCTAGTTAGACTCTCTGGTACACCACTACCTGATCATACTCTGCTATAGTAGAAGCCTTAGCATCCACACAGCTGCCTGGCAGGAAGAAAAAAATCAGCCCTTGGGGAAAAGATAATTGTGTTTTGACCACATAGCTTTGTGCGACAGATTCCATTTTGTCTTTATAATGAGAATTATATCTGTCCTTGTCCATGTGTATGCGTGCATGTGTATGTGTTTGTGTCAGGGAGAGGATGAGACGGCCTTGCGGCAGTGTTATGAGGGAGTCGAGAGGGATGGTGAAGTGATACGTGTCCGAGACACTGTGCTTCTGCGATCAGGCCCCAGGAAGAAATCACTTCCATATGTTGCCAAGATATCAGCGCTGTGGGAGGACCCCAAAACAGGTAAAAGAGATGAGGAGTGGGGAGATCACAGAAAAATAGTTTTTGTGCATGGATGAAGGGACATATTACCACAGCTGGTTACCTGTGCTTACTGTATGTGTGTCTAAATTTGCTGCTGCAGGAGAGCTGATGATGAGTCTTTTCTGGTACTACCGACCTGAGCACACCCAGGGAGGCAGAGATCCCAGCACACACTGTGAGGTGAGGCTCGATCGGAATGATTTATGTTGTTTCCCAGTGGTTAAATGACTGTTGACAGCACACTGAAAAGAAAGCTCTGTGTCCACTCTTAAACACATACAGTATAACTGAAGCAAACAAACATGATGGGGAATGTGTACAATTAAGCAAGAATGAGTTCAGTTCGGTTTTATCTCATAATGCCACTTTTCATTCTAAAGTCTTTTTCTGTCAATCACGACAAACTGGGTGGAGGCAGTTACGTGATTGGCTGTTGCTTTGGTCTGAATGAACCATCCACATAACAGTCATCTGAGAAAGCACAACAATTTTTTTTGTAAAACATGAATACATTTTTACAATAATTGTAAATTAGGATCACACTCAGTGGCAAGAAATCACTTTATTCTGTGAGAAGACACAACGTTTTTCAGCCTTCATCAGTGTCACAGTCTCACAGTTCAACTGCTTCACACAGGTGAAACCTCTTGAGTTAATTAGAGTGCAGTCTTTCCAATCTTTCCAATTTAACTGCATCAAAAAAGTCAGAATGAAACAATTTCTTGCCACTAAGTGTGGTACAAATTTCTCATTATTAAAAAAAATAAGCAAATTAAATAAAAATCACCTAAAAAATGCTATTTTGAAAAGAAGCAGGATAAACAAAATAATTTCATAATAATAATGTGAGTTTAACAGTTTATCATATTTTTTAACAGTTTTATTTTGAAAGTGCTTGTGCATATAATTACATAATTACCAATGTCACTTATTTATTTCATATTGCACACTTTGGTATCCATAGGTCTTCTGTGTCTTGGCTGAAGGGTTGGCTTCCTCTCTTCACTTGTCTTAAGAATGTGGCAACATTTCTTGCTGATGTTGCTTATAAAATGTTTTAGAAACAAATTTCCCAAGTGAAAATACTGTCTTGTGCTTTCACATTATAAGTTAGAATTTGCTATAATGTGTTTAAATGTGTGTGTGTGTGTGTGTGTGTTGGTGGGTTCACGTTTCACATTCTGTGTTGCAATTATTAATTGCTTACCATAAGTAAGTCATGCATAATAGTCAGTTGTCCTAACGTACATAAGAAATGAATGTGCGAGGGGAGGATGAGCAAAACCGCCTGTCCAGGCACAAATATGTAGGCACCGACTGCTGCTGGAGACATCATTATCTTTCTCTCAGCAGCCCTGAAACTGTTGATAGCTGGTTAGCTCTTCAGTGTAACCACGCTGCCAAACTGATGATATCTCTGCCTCCTCAGTCTTCCACAAACAAAGAGTAGGAGAACAGAGCAGTTCCACGGTTAGAATGTAAACGCAGTGAAACGCTACTCATGCTTCTGTTCACAGTGGATGTCTATAGCATGTGTTGAGCAGAACCGCATTGGTGTGTACGTATGTGTGCGCGCACATGTTGGCACATGTGGTAGACACAGAGGCACAATCCTATTGCACCTGAACAATTACAGTTCCTTCTGTGCACACTGTTGTCATTTCTTCAGCCTTCACCCAACACAATAGGAAACACTTGTGTTGATGTGACATTGTACACCCACTGTTGGTTTCAGAATGAGATTTTCGCCTCTCGGCATCAGGATGAAAATAGTGTGGCCTGCATAGAAGACAGATGCTATGTTCTCCCACTAGCCCAGTACTGTAGGTAAGTACACGCACACACAGATACAGAGCTCAGCTGTAATCGTTAGCAGAAAGTCGTTTCAGAATGTTACTTTTTAATTAACACTTGATCTTCTGAGATATTGTATGTGGAAACCTGTGTCACACATTGGTGACACTGCACCTGCAAATAACTGCTTATTATTTTTACGTTCAGGAACAGTTGCATAAAGATGCCAGAGTTGTGCTTGATTTCACAGCAGATAGTCGCCCCTTGATTTATTTTTTCCCCCCTCTCCTGTCTATTTCTAGATTTTGTGCCTTGGTGAAGCGGCGTGCCGAAGGCGCTCCACCTGGCAGCACCAGCATGGTGCCCTGCCTCCCCGGCTTCACCCCCCCATCCCACCGCTGTGTGCCCACAGACGTTGACCCCGAGCTGGTGTATCTCTGCCGGCACGTCTACGACTTCCGCTACGGACGCATCCTGAAGAACCTGCAGTAGAGGGCAGATGGGGTGTCGCACCTATGAATTAATTGCTAGAGGGCTGAAGGACTGAACACCCCTGTCTTTTCTGCTGGTGACCTGACGACGAGAGAGAAGGGAGATGCCGGAGAGAGGCTGGTTTTGGTGAGGGACCAATGAGTCAAAGTGTTTGTGGCACATTATGAAGCGCAGGTTCCTTTAGTTGTCCACAGAAAGGGTTACAATGTGACAGATGAAACTATCTCAGTCAGAGCACCAGTATTTCCTAGCTTTGAAGGGACAAGTAATTTATCATCTTGGACTTTTCAGCTTCCACTTATGGAAGCTTCTGTGCCCCCCTCCCTCCCCCCCCATCTGTCAGGAATGCTGAACACTAGGCAGGACTGGGCTACAGGACAACATTTCCCCTGAAGCATCTCAGCACAACAATCATGTTTGTTGCATTTGTAAGCCGATGGCTCAGGGATGGTCCGGCGCTAAGGTGCTTCCAGGGGAACACAAGCTTGCGCTGTCAGTTCAGTGTTAATGGTGTTGAAACATCCAGGGTGAAGGAGCAGCTAATGGAGTGTTGTCTTATTTCTTTTGATTTGAATTTGTGTGTGAATGTGTGAAGTGTTGTCAGTGTGGATGAATGGATAAATGTAGGGATGTGTGATGGTTTTTTAGGAGGCTTTCAGGCAATCAAACCTAACAAACAGCTTTAGAGGAAGCAGAGTTTTCTCTCTCTCGTCCTCTCTCTTGTGTGCTCTAGCGCACTGACACTGACAGAAACATTTTTATCTCAAGTGATGCTAAAATACTGTACCTGAAAGGGGGTTTGTGAAAAGTAATCCTGACTGGGTCCAGTTTAGCAACTTACAACCCTCAAATATCTGTAAATCAAATCTGGGCCCGATATCAGTCCCAGAAACTGACCCCTACCCATAATGTTAATAAACACATGGGCTACACGGTTACACACTTTAAGACTCATCCAGATTCCCGCAAGGTTTGCATGATGTCTGGTCTGAGGTTATCTGCCATTTTGGCCAGTGTACTGCCCCATATGGATGTGCTAAACATTCGCTCAGTCACTTGTTATAATGCAGAGTGACACAAATGTAGCTGATCTTGCAGTAATCATCCACACATCCAAAGTGACTTCCCATTGCGTCAGTCAGCTGCATTCTCAGTTATGGAATGATGAATTGAGGGGGAAAGAGGTTTTCTCATAGGCATGCGCAGTTCGAAAGACACACGATATGATACAATTATGCTTCATTTCACCTGCTGCCTGTTGGTGTTTAGGTCAGTTTTACCCGTACTCATGAATTAACATAAAAACATATTGTCACACATTACTGTTGTCGGTTACCTGTATGTGCACAGCTGGGTGCAGGCTGTTTTGTACCACACTCAACTCTAGAGCAGGCTTTTAACTTTGGGTCAGGACACCAATATTGTCTCTAAACTGATTATATTGAAAACACATTTAACAAAAGCCTCGTTGGATTTTCACTGTCTTTCATCTCAGCCTCAGTCGTGGGAAGCCTCTTTCCTTACTGGGTCTGCTAAGGGTCCAATGGAGAGATCCCTTATTGAGGACTGAACAGGCTTATGAAGAGGAGGGTTGTCCTTCATTGTTTTTTGTTTCTTCTCATATTTGTCACTTTTGCTGCTCCCTGTTAGTTGCCTTATGAGTTGCAGGCAGGGCAGGTAGCTAGCCTCACCGCATACGACTAGGAAGAGGTCGAATCGGAATGGGTTTGCTGTAGTCCCAGGAAATGGGAATTTGTTGCCAGTCGACTGACAGCTGTGATCACTGGAAACACACTGGCTGCAATTAATCATTATTTTTCATTATCTAATAATTGTCTATAAAAGTTAGAATGTAGTGAGAAATGGCCAACATTTCCTACATTTCTACATTACCTGACCAACAGTTCAAAAGCCAAAACTGTTCAGTTTACGGAACAGAAGCTGAAACGATTCCATTTTTGGCATTTTGCATTTAAAAAATAAATGACCAAAATAGTTAAAAACCACAGGGCACTTTTTATGTTATGCTGTGCTCTAATTGCTCGCCTTGCATCCTGAAGCCTCGCAACATTTGGGAAATATCTATTCAACACCCACATTGAATTTTTCTTCTTCTTCTTCTTCTTCCTCCCCTCCTCCTTCTCCCACCAAGATAAACCAAAGGATGTCACACAAGCCAGAGTCCCTGCGTCCTCCCTCGTGTTTCTTTTCCTTGTCAGCACTTCTTCCTTTGTTCCCTTATTATACTGCACTAATCCATCCCTTAATTACAACAAACGTTTTCAACTTTTTTGTTGTTGTTGTTCCAGCTACTAATACTGTATGTTTTGGAGGAAAAAAAAAACAGCATGTCCAGTTTTTTATAGTCATTCCATTTGATCATCTCAGCCACACCTCCATAAATATCCTATATGTAGTGTACATGTGTGTGTATATATACAGTATACATTGTATATACTGTATATATAAAGTATGTATGTGTGTTCATTAAGTTTCAGAAGGCGTCTGGATGGAAGTTTTGTTGTTGAGCGGACAAACGTAGCACCATGTTGTGTACTTGGATTGTGTGGGTGGTGTTTGATACTTAATTGAGTTGTGGAGGTTTGGAAGCCACTCTCGATTCATTGCCTTTTAAGCTGCAAGCGTTTTACTGTCACTCAGAAAACGAGTAGTGTGTGTGTGTACCTTTAAAAACATAAAGAGTACCCGATTGCTTTCCTACACAACAAACACCGTTTGGATAAGCCGTAAAAGTTTTCAACACTCTAAAGCCATCTTTAACTTTTTCTGTGTGAGAACCCAGAACAACATTAAATCCTGATCATTGTTCTTTTGTTTGTTTGTTTTTTTTATTTCTATTAATGCCCAGAGTCTTCAAAGAGGTAATATATATTCTCCTACTTTACAATTTCTCCTTATTAAGAATCTTTTATTGTCAATTTCCTAAGATGGCATATGCAATATATTTTTAGACTTAATATTTTTGGAAAATGAAAGTAACAAATCTAGAAAAGTATATGCATTATTTTTTATTTTATTCAACATGAGTTTGAAATCATCACAGTGTTATTTGAAATTTGACCAAATGGGGAAAAAAAGGAGAGTGAAGGTACTCGATGCCCTCATATGGCCTACAGTTGTAGCCTTCCAGGTAATTTCTAACGAAGTGCACATAACTGAATCCAGGAAGCACTGGGCACTCTTTAAACAAGCAGACAGCTAATGCACAGCTAAGTATTTTTGCAAGATCTGTAACAATTATATAGAAAAATTTTAATGGAGTAAACAATACAATATATTAAGATTTCAGTTTAAGTTATTTGGAAATACTGTCTTATTAATGAACCATATCCTGTTTCTTTGTGCTTCAGGATAGAAGTGATTTCTGTTTATTTGTAACTTATGAATTTAGAGATTAAATGATTTGAGCGCTGGTTATTGACAGAGATGTCAATTTTGTTGCATTTATGTATTTTGCTGTCAGGGTGTGGAGAACCAGACCAAAGCACACACCCTGGCAGACAGGAGAGCAGAAGTGACTGTGAATTGCAGGTTTGACCAGAATTCCCTTTGAAATGCTTACAAAGTCAAATCTGACCTGAGGCCTGTGGCAACGAAGACTTCTAGTTCTCCTGCCCAACCTGACTAACCTTAAGTGTGATGTTTGGGAGAATGCTCTGGCAACGTGGTCACCTGAGCTTCTATTGATTTGTCCTAATTGAGAAGAGACAGAGACAGTCTCTGAGACAAGACAGCAGAGGGCAGGACGTCCTCTCAGGCAGCAATAGAAGACCCTTCTCTAAACGTAGCCATATTATAGAGGGTTTTCAGTAGTCATCATTAAATTAGACACTATGAAAATTATTAGGGTGGGTCATGTATTTTTCATTTTTGCTCAAGGGAGGTTTTTGGGAGACCTGAGGATGGTGTTTTTCCTTTTACTCTGGGCCTGTAATATTGCCATAGTCAGCATTGTCAGTATCTGGGACCGACTCACTCATTCAGTGGCTATTAAAGGCCCAGCATCTTAGGGAGTGGCTGTATTTTCCCACCAAACAATACACTTTACTGAAGGTAAAGTTTTGCAATTTTTTTTAATTCAGGGTAAGGAGCCAAAGAAAATATGGATATTAATGTGGCAGCCATGTTTTTTTAAAGCTATTTAACAAAATGACATTTTTATTACATAAAATGTAAGATTTTGTCCCCACTTCTCACCCCGAATAATTTGCAAACAGTCCCTTATTTAAGTATTAAAATGACAAGGTTTTCCAGTAGGCTGAGAGGGAATCTAGCAATTGTAATATAATTAATGAGTAGAACAAATTCAGGATTTGAGCAGTTTCTCCCACCATCCAAATTAGCTGGCCACTGTTGCCTTTCCCCCAGATGTGCACTGATGGTGTTTGTCCCCTAGAGGGCAGGAATCCAGTGTGTGCAAAAAAAAAAAGTCTCATGGCTAGTGCAATTCGACAGTGTCCTCTTCTTGTGTTCGTTCCTCACATCCTTATCTTTTGGCTGCTGAGAGAGAAGCAGAAGCTTCTTGGAAAAGGAGATGAAGGAAGTTGCCATGAATCATCCTCCCAAGTGCTGGCCCTGCAAAAGCATGGATTAGATTGTATGTTATTATTTATGTGACTTCCTAGCAACTTTGCATGGACACAGTTGCATCCTTTGTTACCATGCCAACTGGGAAAGACCAGCACTCAGGAGACACCTAATTCTGTGTACATATGGTGCACACAGGGTCAAACACTGTGTGACCTTTTTATTGATGCCACACAAGACGTGTGTCCACTCCATGAGTTCAAACTAAAGCACCTGACCAACCCATGAGTTTCTGCTTTCTGTGTGGTTTATATTGATGCTTATTGTCAACATATATTTTGATATATTTGGGGGAAAAAATGGGGGTATACATTAAAATGTCTAGATATTTTTGGAGTAGAGAAGCAATGTGTGTATCAGATTATTGTCACTTTGTCATGCTTTGAAAATCTTGGATTTTTTGGAAGAATTATATAACATCCCTACTGATTTAATGTTTCATTGAAAGAATATTTATAAATTTTAAGTCCTTTGTGAAAAATCTGTGTGGGCATTTTTCTTTTAGATTTGTTTTAATCAGTTGTTGCCTTGTATTTTCATTAGATTGATCTTGTTTTATTCAGTCAAAGTGACCTGTAGGCTTCATCAAATGTTATATATTTCAGACAGCAGGAGCAGGTAGGTTTCAAAAGTCATCTCAAATTTCTTTTTTTCATGAAATCACATCTATCAGTGGGTTAAATATCCCTTCCCAGAGATTCTACTGTATGAAAGAACCATCTTTCTGTTCTGTATGTAAGAGGGGAAATGTTCGCCCTGCATGCGACCAACAGGAAGTCAGCAAAGTTTTCTCCACATGAGGTCAGTAGTGAGACAGCGTTCTCATGTCAGGGTCAGACCCTGTGACTTCTGCCTGTAAGGTAAGGTAAGGTAAGGTAGGACTTTATTGATCCCACAGTGGGGAAATTCCTGAGTTCCAGCAGCAATAGAGAGCAAGAACGAGAATAATCCTCCCACAATAAATCCCTGAGAAACAAATCAAAAGGCACTAATCAGGGCATACGGGGTGGTGGTCATGTGTTACAGCCTCTAACCCTCCTCTGTCCCTCTCCCATGTTTCTGCCTCTCCACATCGTATTATCTGTCTTTGGCCTTTATTCCTTTCTCAGGTGCACTGGCCTACTGTAAGACTGTTGGCTGCTCCAGTGTTGGACTTAACTGTAGGGAGAGATTTGGTTGGCATTTGATGTCTGGATCAGTTAGTCTTTACACACTGAGTCCTGTTTTTAGGGAATAGGTATGTCAGGCCTGGATAAATCTTACATGTTACTAAAAGTAGAACACAATAACCTAACATAATGTTGTATAGCTAAATCTCAGTACAGTTCTAAGGTAACTGTACTTGGGAATCATTATTTGCTGCTGCTTTATACTCTTACTTCACTACATTTACAATAAAATATTGTACTTTTTACTCCACGACATTTAGTTGACAGTAAGATATATGTTTATAAAATACAGTGTTAAGGATTTAACCAGTTCCTAATCATTCTGGTTTGTGCCACCTTATAACAGCTGTCAGATGAGAGTTGCTGGGTGTTTTATACTGAAGGGGCTACAGTCAAATAACATTTTTTTTCCCACGGCAAACCTTTTGTCGCAGGTATTACTAACAACATTAACAGTGGTATATTCACATGACACTGAAACCGAGGCAGCTAAATTTGAATTCAGCTATTATTAATTTTATTATTTATACTTGTACTTTTCCTACTGTGACAGAGTATACAGTAGTTGTACTTTTATAAAAAATACAGAGACACATAATGTTATCATTTGTCTTATGCATGTGCACATAGAAATACATATGACAAAACAGGAAGCCTGGCTGCATGAGAATGGTAAGAAGAGAATCTCAGCAATTATTAATATTCTTGGCAATGGAGGACTTCCACTACCAGCCAGAAAACTTTGAAGGATCAGCAAAGAGTAAGCATCTGGTAGAGAGAGAATCAATCCAGTGAATGCAAATTAGACAGAAAACCAGTTCACACTGGAGGAGAGCCCAATACAATCGACTAACTGGCTTTTCATCTGCTCCTGTTGTCTTTTTCTATTGGTCTAATTACCATGTGCGGTTTATTGTCCTCCTGATGACTGTAATTAATCAAGTTGTTCTCCCTAATCTCAGAATCTCATCATCTTTACAGTACATCAGGGCTGGCCACACCGGATGGTAGCCTGATGTAAGCTCTTTTGGGGACTGTAATTGTGTGCTTGTCTGCAAGTTTGCATGCAACAGCAAATTGTGTGGTCCCACCCTGCTGTGTTTTTTTTGTCAGGAGCATGTGTTTTCTCAGCACACAGTAATTGTTAGTCATCGATTTCCTCCTTGCAGCAGTAGCTATATGTTTGCAGACAGGAGTTATACAACTTCTCTTTCAGGAAGTTATTTTGGGGCTTTTAATGTGAAAGTGTTTTGCCTGTCTGAGGCCTCCTCGACCCTTGTGCCCCTGTACTCAAACATACCCTTTTATTGTCTTGTCCTCCCCTGAGCCTCAGATGGCTTCCTGGGTCCTTAGTCTCTCCTCTGAGTGAAGCCACCCTCTCCTTGCTCCTACACACTCCCTAGAGGGCATTAGATGACAGAGGGAGGGAAAGCGAGAGGTGCTGGCCACTGGTGGTTTAGGGAAGGTGAGTTAGCCCAGCAGTGAAGCGTAGGAGCACACGGGATCATCAGGGCTACGGCAGGACACACACACATGGAGGAGCTTGTGGACCGAGGTCTGGGGATGGAGGAGACGGGCCATGGCCTGCAGAGGAGGCTGTCTCTGAAGGAAAGCTACCACAGTGACTCACTGCTGGCACCCACCACTGACCTCATGACAGGTAGAGAGCTGAGGGAGTTTAGGTGTTTAAGGGAAAGTACATCCAACTCACAAAAACATATTTGTATATGTAGCCATGCAAATGTTTTTATTTCCTCTCTGTAGTTTTAACTCCAACTCAGTACCCTAGAGGTGAATGGAATTTTGCACTGTTATAAATCTGTAAATAAAATCCAAATTAACTGATAGGCCTATATACCACCAAGGTTATGTAACAAAATGGAAGTGACCCTTTAAAATGTTTTGTATGAGGTGCATCTTTAATTGTAATCAACAAAAAGTGTGTAGACTTCCTGCAATTTATCACAAAGTGGGTGTGTATACGTGGATGGTTTGCACAGCTTTATAGATTTCAACATTTTTGTTCATATTTATCATGAAAAAACAGAAAAATGAGCAGGTGGAGTAAATTGAAAGTAAAAAATAAATGCAAATATTATGTGTGTATCATCATTGACTGAAAGCTGTTAATCTAAGTTATTCTAATATGAATAAGTTGAAAATGAATGACTAAATGTGACTAAAGGCGAAAATGAATGACTAAATGTGACTAAAGGCCTTTAGGGCCCAGTCTAACAGGACTCGTTCTTCATCTTGTCCTGCATACCTGTTTGATGTATCATGTGCCACACAGTCAAACTGTGGGCGTTAAGGAATGTACCGATGAGATTTAGGGAAATGCCCTGTCCCTTCAGGGATATTAGTGGACTCATAAGTGAAGGCTTGCATGTGTGCACATGGCCTTTGTGTATCAGCATGCAGGGTGCTGGTATGAGCAGACAGATGCTGCGTCTTCATGCAGGAAACGGCATCTGCAAGCAGAGATTAAAGCACACCACTGCTTCTCTGCACTGCAGTTATGCCTTGATACATTTCATTTTCCTAAAATGTATAATAAGCATATGAATTTTGAAACTATTCTGACTGGTTGGTGTGTGTGCGTGTGACTCATATGCACAGAGACAGACTTAATGCATGCGTTTGTATGTGTCCAGTGAGCAGCCTGTTATTTGTATAGCTGACTTAGTGCAGAGAGTGAGCTTTGGGCTCCTAATTCCCTTTTATAGGACTGGGATTATGTGCTATTCTAATCCCAATCCCATATGGGGTGTGTGGAGGTGGCACGAGGATGATGTCACGGCCAGGACAACAGGAGAAACAAAAAAAAAATCACAGGCCTACACAGAGTCACAGCTCTCCAGGAGAGCCAGATCACAGTGTGCTGTCTGCACCCACAGCAGTTCATCATTACAAGGAGGAAACATTTATATCTCAAACGAGCTACAATAAAAATGGAGAAAGAAACTCAAGTTTAACATCATAGACCATGCATTTTATGACATTCTGAGGCTTCATAGACACTAAAGTCTGAAAACATATAATGCATCACAACACTTTAGTCCCAGTCTTTTTTGTTACCTTCACATCCTTGTCAGAATAAAGGTTCTCCTTCTTCAGCACTGCATATTATATTTCAAATGTGTTCATTTAAATTGATTTTAAACTGGATCTATTATGTAACTAATGATGCTAATGATAAGCCTGACAATATGTTTGCTTAGAGTGACAAAAGAGGGACTTTCCAGCCTTTTATAGCCTTAAACTGTTTTGAACATTTATCCTTTACTGACAGTTAATTATTTTGACCATTTAGTTATTTGAACTAGTTATCCAGTAAACTCTTTCAACTGTTAATACATTATTTTTAGCTAACAATTTCAACCATTAATTTCTATTACGACTACATAGCTAACTGATAACTTTCTAAATGATTTTCATGCACTGTTAGTTGCAACTTGTGATATTCTGGTGTTTATTATTTATTTTTTGAATTCATCTGTTTATGAAATTGGAACTTCTGTTTTTATCAGAATACCCAAATTCAGTGTTCTTATTCAAATACAAAAATATACCTGTGAGCACACGGTTTATGTAACTGATCCCATTTGCTTGTGTTTTTGAAGTTTTAGAGGTCATTCTGCAGCTACAATAAAACATTTTTATTTAGCTCCTTGTTGTTCTGCCGTAGTGATCAGTAACAAGGTGTTCACTGCAGCCCAACAAAAGAACTGGCCACGTTTCAGGTTTATTTCTGCTGTTTCCTCTTTGTGGCTAAATCTCTCATAGTGACATGGGGCTTATGTGTGGGGGTGGGGTCAAAGAGGCTCAGGCTGAAGGATTACCATTGTATACTACACACACACACACACACACACACACACACACACACACACACACACACATGCAAGACATGCACAGACAATTTAGGCTGAATTGGACAACTGCTTAGTTTAGCTTAGCATTATCAACCCCACCCCCACCTTTACACACACACACCCTGATCATACAGGCTTTAAGCACTGTCATACACATCGCTGCATCCCAGAGTGTGACAGGCGAGCGACCACTAAAGAAACGTGAGAGGATCAGAACACCAGTAACTAAATCTTGTGCTGCAGATAACTGGATGCCATAAACAGAAGTGGACAAAACAACAACAAAAAAAAAACAGCTGCTCTTTGAATGCGTGATACAAGTGGACCAAAGGGGACGAGATACTAGTGGACACCAGCCAGTAGATCAAAATCAAATGGAGAGAGAACTGGCCTATCTGACTGAAGCCAGAGGAGGAAAGAAGAGCCAGAGGGTGTGCTCACGAGAGGAGAGGAAGAGGAGGAAGACATCTGGGGTGGTGCAGGAAGGTCCAATTGACCTTCAGAGGCACCTTGACTACTCATCAGTGTCCACTTTCTATCACGGTATTCACTGTCCTCTGAACTGTTAATGTTACTAGTGATGGCCACAGTGCAGTGGTGGATTGAAAGAGAAAGCACAATGTGGGAGTCACAGGTGAAAGTGTTTTGGTGTGTTCTTGGCTACCTTTGTTTAGATGCTGCTATGTGATGACTGTGTGGGTGTTCACCTGTGTTCAGCTTTGCTGTGACCACATTAACCTGGTTTGCTTATTCTGTTCTCTTGCGATGTTTATATCTTGTTGCCTATGGCAATAAGCGTTACAAGACCCTTTAAGGCAGAATTTCACCCAGCAATTAATGCTTTGGCTGCAGTTTTTACCTAAAATTTGGCATCCACATGGAAGTGTTTATATTGTTTTGTTTCTTCATCAGTCCAAAGTTTTCTGTGTGTGTGTGTGAATGACAAGCTACTTTGTGACCAG